GGGGGGGGGGGGCAATAAGTATGCCCACTCCTGCTCTGCGCCTCTCACCAGGAGCAACTCCAGAGTGGAAGAGTGTCCAGCCGCTCTCAAGGAAATTGGTTCCAGAGCCGTGTGTAAAAGTGAGTCAGACTATTTCTAGCCGGAACCTGTCAGCCTCACACACCAGCTCAGGCTCCTTCCCCACCAGTGATGTGACATTCCACGTCCCAATAGCTAGCTTCTGTAGCCGAGGATCAGACTGCCAGGGTCCCCGCCCTCGGCCACCACCCATCCCACATTGCACCCCACCCCTTTGGCCTCTCCCACAGGTGGTGAGCCCAGTTTCTCTAAAAATGAAAGTAAACGCACTTAATGCATCAGCGTACAACAAAACATAACTGGACCTTTTTAGGACCGCTTCATGACCAATGAGGCTGCAGTTCTCAGCACAGCTTTTCAGTCCGGTTAAGTTGTGGTCTTTTGAGTTATTGCAGCACCTTGATTCTTTTCCTCTTCGGCCCTAAATTAGCAGATTTGCTGTTATCTTTGGGATCTTTGTCTTGTTTCTTGAACCAGTTTGGTTTAAGCTTCAGCTGTCAGACAGCTTGCCTCACATTTGACTCTAGAGTACTTTGGTAAACAGAGAAGTTCATGGTCGACTCAGTGTGGTGTTTATGTCTTGTCCAAACCATCAATCCTCTACCACCGTGCTTAACAACTGACATAAGGTGTTTTTGCTGGTATAATAACTTTAATGAAATTATTATGAGTCGATCTAAATTTTCACACGCTGCTTCAACATTCTGTTTTACTCCTTGTTAAACATGTTCATTTCAATTTGCATTGTCTTTTTTTTAGGATCTAGCAACAATGACAATTGCTTTAAATATTTCCACTTATGAAATTTATGTTTATTAACGTCTATTATGTTGAAGGTTTAAAGTTGGTAGTAACTTAACTCACAAATTTTTTGCTTTAAGTTTCTGAACAGAGGAGAGTAAATTACTATTTTCAGTTGTAAAGACGCTTATAAACACTAAACCTTGGTACAAATACAGTTTCTTTTAAAAGTTCAATAAATGTTATGTTCCGATGCGGCCTTTTCAGAGTTAACAACAAAGTAACAGTAAAGCTGACTAAATTTCTGTCTAACAGATGGCTGGACTACAAAGCTGTTGGAAAGAGGCTCCATGGGACTCGCTTCATTTCTTTCAAAGTGCCTCTGAAACAGGTCAGCAGAGTGTCAGACTACTACTTGATACAAGAGGCTGTGTTTTTATTATTATTAATTTTTACAAATAAGTGTAACTATGTTTTCTTCTGTTCAGTCTTTGAACTTGAAAGTCCCGCGCTCAGAAGTGTTTGGCCCCTGGGATCTGCGGGATGCTTTGAACAAAGAGAACCAAGAGCTCGGTCTGATCATCGACCTGACGTTTACCAGACGCTACTACACACCTGAGGTAAACACACATGTCACAAGGAACACATCCAGTTTGATGAAGACATAACAGGGACAGTAAAAGAATTGGGCTACAACCACACAGTCCCCCTACAGGCATGTGTTTGAACACCACTTCAGAAAGAGCTGCGTGACCCTTTAACCTGTCAGAAAAACAGATTTCCTACAAAATGCTACACTTTAATGGCCCAGTGCTGTCTTAACCATTTCTGATTGAATAGATGGCAAAAATCCCTGAAACATGTCTATGATCTATAAAACACTTTCCACCACACATGAACCATCTTGTTGCAAAAAGAGTGCAGTGTTTCCCCTAGATAACTTGCCATGGCGGGGTGATCATCTCTTTTGTGATTTTTGTCAAAGGGGGCCGGGGAGAAGAAGAACGGAGACACGTCCTGAGCTGCGCAGCACTCTGTGTACTGACAGTTTTAAAGCCGGTTTGGGGTTAGACAGTGACACAGCCGTGTGCTGTTTGCACTGACAGTTTTACCGTTTTAGAGCGTGGGGTGGTGGGGAGGAGGCGAGGAGAGAGACTAGAGCCACATTGAGCTTTGTGCTGTTTGTACCGACAGTTTTCGAGTGGGTGAGTAGGTAGGTAGGTGCGGTTCAGCATCAGGGAAGAGGCTGTCTTTAGCTTTTTAGCTTGTGCACCTGTATTGCAAGCCGCTAGCTTAGCGTTACGTCAGTGCTGACATGTGGTTTGGGTGGGGGTGTGCACGGTTCGGTAGATGGGGCACCCCACTTGTGTAATGGTAGGGGAAACACTGGAGTGGTGTTGTGTAATGTGTAAAGTGTCAGGTTATGCTTCTTTCTTACATATGAACTGCCTGGACAAAACAACGGTTACGCACTCTAATATTTCGTTGGACCGCCTTTAGCTTTGATTCTGGCACAAATTTGCTGTGGCATCGTTTCCACAAGCTTCTACAAAGTCACATCTATTGCTGTCCAGAGTTACATACATTTTTGCGCAGATCTTGTATGACGGAAGATTCAGACCCCTGCACAAAGTCCTCTCCACAAAAATTCTCAATGGGGTTCAGGTCTGGACTCTGTGGTGCCTAATCCATGTGTGTAAATGATGTCTCATGTTCCAAGAACCACTCTTTCACAATTTGAGCCCAGTGAATCCTGCTGATTCATTTGGAACATGCCTGTGCCATCAGGGAAGGAAAAATAATTAAAGGAATAATCTGATCATTCAGTTTTTTCAGGTTACCAGCCAACTTCGTTCTTTGGGCACATAACATTGCTGAACCTGGACCCGACCAACCGGAGCAACCACAGATCATAGACTGCCCCCATGGGCTTGTACAGCAGGCTTTAGGCATGATGGGTGCATCACTTGAGCCTCCTCTTTGTACCCTGATGCTCACTCCCCACTGTCCTTTCAGTTTTTAATAGTTTGTTGGAGTTTTTTTTAACCTGCTTTTAGTTTTAGCAATCTTAGATGTTTTTTCTGCTTCATGCGTGCCAGTAGTTTGACCCTTTTGAAACAGGTCATCTTTTCCACGACCACAAGATGTCTTTCCACATGGTTGCTTTACTTAACAAAAAGAAGCTACTCACTGCTTCAGTTAGGGTTAAATAACTTAGTTGAAACATAATTAATCATGCAGTAATTAACCAATGGCAGGCTCTTGCCTATTTGCTTAGTTAAATCCAGGTGCTGACCTTTTTTTGACCAGTCAGTGCAGTTTATATGCACAGTAATGTTAGCCTAATGCTAGTTTTAAACATGCACCCCCCAAAAATACTAATTTAAGAAAAAGCACTAAATAGACTTAATTTAAAAACAGTTTTCCCAGTCAAACTTAATGTCTCCCATCACAGCGAAGAGGGAGACAAAAAGGGATCCGTCTGTCTGTTCATCTTTTGAGCTAGATAACTTGAAAAATAAGTGAGGTATTCCATTTTGGTGTGTGGCTTCATCTAGATGTAAGAAAGGTCATCTTTGAAAATTGGGCTGCCACGTCAAAATCTAAGATGGCTGCTGCCATAAATATATGTAAACCAGCCACCCTGATCATTTGAGGAAACTATGCTTTCTATATTGCCAATAAATTATAGTTTCCTCAGATTAGTGTGGCCAGTGGGGTGACTGAAGATTAATCTGTAGTGGCCAAGACCAACTTTGGCCACTGCCTGGCTTTGCCGTTACACCTGGTTGTGTATAAAATTGCTCTGTCTGCTCGTCAGGATCCATCACTCTGCTCAGCCTCAAAGATAAAATCCTACCTCTCTTCTTATACACAGTGTAACTCCTGCCCATTTGAATATCTTGCACAAAACGTTAAGGTTTACTTACATTCCCTGTTCAAGTCCAGTCCAGAAAAACCCTCATCTCAAAACCTACAAACATTCACTATTCAAATCTTTCAGCGACAGGAGATGTCGGAGTACCGCTTGTTTGTCTCTATCTGACCCTGTGATGGACTTGCGACCTGTCCAGGGTTTACCCCGCCTTTCACACAGGCTTAGCTGGAAATGGGCACCAGTGATGTTGACAACCCAGAAAGGAAGAAGATTCATTCAAGCAATGAGGCTTGACTGAATGAAGATTTGATTAGGCCTCTAAGCAATTGGGGACCGTGTGCACTCACTGCTTGTTTTGCTAGCAGCAGTAGAAGTCCTAGTTGGAAATTTTAAAAACACATGAAATTTACCAATTTTAACTACTGACGGGAAACAAAAAGAAAACACCAGTGTCAGAAACAAGGGTACATAAGTGAAGGAAACACTGATTTCCTCAGTTGATGTAATAACCTTAAAAGTAGGCCTGTCACGATAACAAATTTTTGCTGGGCGATTAGTTGTCTCAGAAATTATTGCGATAAACAATAATATTGTTTGAAATTTGACAATAATTAATAATTATTGTCAAGTTTAAGAAGAAATGTTTAATTTGTTTTGCATTTAGTACCTTTTTTTCGACCACTAGATGGCAGTATAAGACTGTTTTAACCGAAGGATGGAGGGAGCGAGCAGTGTGTCTCTTTAAGAAAAATGGGAGGGAGGCCCCTTGACGTGACATGGGCTGTCTCTCCTTCCTGTTTTTTTGGTTCTCAAAATGGTGGACGCTCGGTGTGGTTTGAGCTCTTTAGCATAGCATTTTTCACACAAAGTTTTTAATAAAAAAGTCAGTAAACAAGTTCTCAGCTTCTTTTTGCAGAGGAAAACAACTTTTTACACGAAGGCACGAGTTTCAACTGTGAATTTTGGAGCTTCGACAAGACAGAGGTTTTTTCCCCGAGGTTGGCCTGTTAGCTTAGCTCGTAGCTTAGCTTCTCAGCTTAGCTGCTTTTAACGATCCAAAAACACGATTTTAGATGTTTAAAATGGATTTTAAATATAAAAGAGAAATGGAAGGGTCATTGAAGAGCACTGGAGTTGAGCCTTTTCTCATCCAGTGTCTTCAGTAGAAAGAGAGAGACACGACAAAATGATAAAGCTGATAAATGAAAATGAGGTAGATAATTTTCATTTATCATGTGATTAATTGATTTATTGTTTATCACGACAGGCCTACTTAAAAGCAAAGTTTAATTTTGTTAAATCACATTAATTTAAACTAAAATAAGTATCAGTTAGTGCAAAACTAAATGGCTGGAGAAAGAAAAAAAATTATATCAAGGAGATGAAGAAACCAGAGTATTGCTGTGTTTTGAGTTGTATTAATATACTAAAGACAAGAGGAGCACACACATCACAATGATCATACTTTCTGATTATTAATTAAACTAAAGGCTGAGCCCCCTTTCATGTCCATTTGTTAAACTAAAATCATCTTATGTTGGAATGGTACAATTAAATTAGTTTTATTACCTTTATGATATAAAATTATGATATAATAAGGAGTGTCAGTACCAGAACAACAAAATATTTTTTTAATTTTTAACGAGGAATAAAATTCATCATACACGTGTGTTTGTGTGTAGGACATTCCACAGTCGCTGCTGTATGTTAAGATCTTTACAGCCGGCCACGAGATTCCCAGTGACGAAACGATCCTGAGCTTCAAACGCGCCGTGCACAGATTTCTCCTGGAGAACAAGGGCAACGGTGAGGGTGAAGAAGCACAGACTGCTGATATTTGACTCGTATTTAAGAATAACTTGCAAACACTGAAGCTGAGAAACCTCAGAAGTGTTTACATGCTCCTTAATGTGAAACCCTGTCAGCCAGGCACAGAGTTGACAGGTGAACAGTAGGAGGAACCAGACGACAGTTTTTAATGCACTGACTCTGCTCACCTCCAGACAAGCTGATCGGAGTCCACTGCACTCATGGCGTGAACCGCACCGGCTACTTGATCTGCAGGTACTTGCAGGGCAGCATCTGTGGGACGGGCTGGACATGCGGATGAAGTTTAACAACTTTTTGTCACCTGCAGGTATCTGATCGACGTAGAGGGGATGGACCCTGAAAAGGCAGTGGAGCGTGAGTCTCTGATTTTAGCATTTGAACGCAGCGTTTAAACATAACTCTCATACGTCCAAACTTCTGTTTTGTTCAGTGTTCAACTTGTCGCGAGGTCATGCTATAGAGAGACAAAACTACCTGGAAGACCTAAAGCATGGTCCGAAGAGAAGGTGATGCAGAGAATAATTTTATTTACTTCAATGCTTTTGAATTATCCTGTTTCATTTTAAGTTTGGACAGAGATGTGTAATAATTTAGCTTGTAATGGCTGACAAGTCGGCTTCTTCTGCACAGCAGACCATCCATCCATCCATTATCTTTACCCGTTTATTCCATTTTGGGTCATGGGGGTCGCCGGTGCCCATGTCCAGCAATCACTGTGCGAGGGGTGGGGACACCCTGGACGGGTCACAAGTCCATCACAGGGACACATAGAGACAAACAAGACAAACAACCATTCTCTCTCACTCACACCTAGGGACAATTTAGAGTTACCAATCAGCCTAACATGCATGTTTTTGGTCTGTGGGAGGAAACCGGAACACCCAGAGAAAACCCACGCATGCACGGAGAGAACATACAAACTCATCCCAGAAAGGCCCCTGGACCAGGATTTGAACCAAGGACCTGCTCGCTGAGATGCAGCAGCTCTTCCAGTTGCGCCACCGTGCTGCGCCACAGCAGACTAGTTAAGTAGAAATGGAGACAAACATTGAGAATCACTAAATCCAACAAAGTTCAGTCAGGTCATCTGGAGTTAATGAGGATAACGAGATTACAACAACAAAATAATTTCCCTTTGGGATTAATAAAGTATTATTGAATTGAATTGAATTGAATTGATTTGAGAGTTTCTTGTTTTTTTTTTTGTTGAGATGTTTCGTCCTTCATCCAAAGGACTTCATCAAACCGAGGCGCCACAACAAACTCAGTCCCACAAGCAGCACACTCATCTAGTGGACCAACCAGTTTGTTGGTGATACAATGGTTTCTGGGGCCCGCCATCTCCCCCTTAAACTCCTCTGAGGCAGCTATATCCAAAGTGGTTCGAAACATCAAAGTTCATGCTCAATAATGCTGATGAAGTCCTTTGGATGAAGGATGAAACATCTCAACAAAAACAGAAACCGTCCAGATGACCTGACTGACCTGACCTGGATTATTGAGCATGAACTTTAATGTTTTGAACCACTTAGGCCAGGCAGTGTATGCTGTGCAGGGCATGACGTCAGCATCGTCGTCATCCATGGTGCATTCACACCAGCCCTGTTGTCCCGAACTCTAGCCCGTTTGCCTAGGAAGTCCAGTTCGTTTGGGGAGGTGTGAACTCGCCATCACATGAAACAAAAAGGCGAACTCTGGCCCGGGCTAAAACCTAGAAGAAAACTTGAGTGCGGTTTGAGTACAGTGTGAATGTAAACAGACCGGGCTCTGCTCCGCAAGCAGGAAGAGGACTACAACGCAGGGCAACCACACACTTCTCTTACCTCATATGGAGCTGTCTGCTGCCTTGTGTGAAGAGCAACATTCTCCATGGTCTTCTGCCTCATCTTCTGCTCATGCTGAGTTCATGGTTGAAAAATGACAAAATATAACTCCTAAAACCGCTAAAATTTGACGCCACTCCATTTTTGTTTTTATTTCCCGAAGAAGAAGCGTCTTCAGAGGTTTTTGTGTTGTTTCTTTCACTAGTTCTTGGTGCAGCGCCCCTACAGGCGAGTGGGGGAACAGGTTGGTTCAACAGGTTGGCTCGACTGCACAGTGCAGTGTGAATGCAAACGCACCAGCTCAAATGTTATGAATATTGGTCCCCAACTGTACTGAGACCACCAGGTGTGAAAACAACCTTAGTCAGTTTAATGTATCTTTGTATTGATTTGTTCTGGTGGAACTGAAGAAGTCTGAACATTGTTGTATAAGCACTATCATGTGGTCATGGTGTGCCATGTTCAGTATGATGAGCAGTCGATAATTATTAAAATCCTTCTTAGCCCAATCAACTTTAGGGTTTCCAGAACATTCTCCAGTTCAGTTTATTTTAACGTGATGCTGCCGTTCCAAAAATTGTCAGTATAGACAAGTTCATGGTCCACATATTTATAGATATGCACCATCTTCCGCAAAAATTAAAGGACCCATGTTTCCCCTTGTAGGTAAACGTGATTGAGAGTGTAACCTCACTATGTTACGGTGAGATTCATATGGTATGGTATAAACTTTATTCATTTTAAAAAAGTACAAAACAATTCCATAACAATATAAAAAGATACAAAAGGTTTAAAATGAAAGGCAGCAGAAAGAAGAAAAAATCTTATTATATATGCCCCTTTTTTCAAACAATTATTTCAATCATAATAATTTTCAAGTCAATTTTCAAGATTCATAAGTTATCTTTACTCAGTTTACCGTCCGCAACAACTGCAGCCATTACTTCCTGTGCTGTTGATCACTGCACCAGTGAAGTTGGCCACATCAAGTGATTGTGTGCGCGTACACAATAAAATCATTCTTAAAATCTATGATACTTCCTCAAGCCATGATTCTATCCATCCATCCACCGGGAGGAGACCCAGACGAAGACCCAGGACATGCTGGAGGGACAGTTTCTCAGCTGGCCTGGGAACGCCTTGGAAATCCCTCGGAGGAGCTGGCCCAAATGGCTGGGGAGAGGGAAGTCTGGGCCTCCCTACTTAGGCTGCTACCTCCGTGACCCGACCCCGGATAAGTGGAAGAAAATGGATGGATGGATACACCCTCAAGCTATGATGCCAGCCTACCCATACACATACTGACTGTTTCAGCTCCGTGACTACCTCCTCCAATGGCTCAGAAGCTTAACAGAAAATTTTCAAAGGGTGGCCAGATGGGTGCCACTCATAAGAAAGACGTTTTCATAAGAAAATATTATGCGCATAACCTCCAGAGACTTTGCATTCTTCTATGAGGACGTTAGCTTTCTGAACCATAACTACCCGCATCCTCCCTCTTCCTTTGTGGTTTTTGTAGCTTGTTTTATGGTTTGTGGAGGAAATCTTACATCTTATTATCTATAATTTGCAGAAACTTTCAAACCCATCAGATATTCTGAAGCGTTATGTTATGACCCATCTGTGCAGGATGTTGCGTGACAGCTTGTTGTTGTTTTATGTTTTGCAACAGTAACAAAGACATGGCGACGCATGAGCAGGTGCCAGTAAGAGGTTCCTTAGCAGCTGACAGCAGATCCCGCTTTAATGACTCTGAACACCACAGGTATTCATTAAAAACAAAGTTTCTGACCTTCTTTGACTCAAAACTTTTACCTAAGATCATAAAAAGTTTGTTCTTAGCTTAACTTCTGAGCAGCCTCTGTTTTGTTGTTGAACCCTGCGAGACAGCAACAGGATCGCCGTAGAAGTGAGCTAATACTTCATGTCCTTCAAGCTCAGTAAACATATGAACCAAACTTGACTATTTACCTCCAGTGATAGATGTCTACCCAAAGCAAAAGAGTCAAACTAAATGTGATGTTAGACGATTGTCAGAGGGTCAGCAGGGTTCTTGGTTCTCAGCATGTAAGAAAACGTTATCCAAAGCTAAAAAACTGGCAAAAAAAAAAATTTTTTTTTGAATAGGTGGAAATATAAATACAAATGTTTACATTTTTTAACATGTCCACCCAAAACTGGAAAAATGATTAAAAGTTAGCAAATTCTTTATGAAATAAACGCTTTGGCACAAATATTTATCATTGTGCTTATTGGTTGTTTAGCCTTTAAAGTCGACCCATTTTAAGATGGCTGCTTCAGTTTGCTGACTGGAATGGAGCGAGAACATTCACAAAATAGATTTGTGAAAAAATATTCCAAGAATATTTCTAAAAATATAATATTTTTTTAAATGAAAGTGAAAATGCTTTATACATACTGTTACGACTCGGGGAACCCAGAGTTGTATGAGACCCGGAACGAGACAGACTCGGGTAATGCATAAGTGACGGTGTTTATTATATACAGTGTAAAAAGGTATAGTAGTTCCTCTGGAGCTCCTGGGGAGGAAGGAGATGGTCAGAGGTCGGCAGGATGGATCAGGTAAGATTTAGTTCTGATGATGTTTTTCCACTGACAGGTTCGAGGAGGTGCGAGGGTTCAACTCCAAATCGAGAGCGCCAGAGGATGAGAAAGCCAAGTTGTCAGGCAGGACCGATGAGACTGGCAACTGGTGGAAGGCAAGGCACGAGGAGAACCCAGACGAGGCACGAGGAGAACCCAGACGAGGCACGAGGAGAACCAGAACAGGACTGAGGGAAACCAGGATCAAGGAGACTGGATCACTAGAGACAAGAGAGAGCTGGTAAGTAGATTTACTAACAGTAAATGTACAGGCCGGAGGCACAAATACCATTGTTGGCTAATGCTCCAGCGAAGAGCAACACTGGACTGCAGCCTTATGTAGTGTGGCTCCTCATCAGGGTGATGGCCGGCAGCTGGTGTTAATTAGCGGCCATCTTGGACGAGGAGCTACAGTCAGTGGTACTCTTACACATGCATGCTTGTAAATATATTAAAATAATGATGTGACTAAAACCAAGCTAAAATTTATTCATTTAAAAATATTTATACAACAGAAACTAAGGCATAAAAGTAATCCAGAAAGAGATTTTTGAAAATGATTAAAGCGTTCCAGTTGTGGGTCTGTAATTTTTACATGATGAGAAACCTACGTTCATCCTCTAAAACATTTTGAACAGCGGTTTTATGTCCTCCTCAGGTCAGTTCCTTCTCGAGGATCAAACTACCACTATTCTGACTGTGGCTTCTCCCCCCGCCCTCCGTTCCTTCCACAACCTTCCTTTCACCCTCCTCCACTGGCCCAACCATACAGATGGCCCAACGGATCAGACACTTCGTGGAGGAGACCCCCCTCTTCAGGGCAGAGCTGGTGTGCAGACGGCCCGTATTTGGAGCGGTACCCCTCTGGCCCCCAACATAAGGACAGAGGAAGAGCTGCTCCTTTTGGGCTCCCTCGCTACTCCCCCCGCTGGGCCTCTATACCCAATAGTGATGAAGCAGCGGTGAGTGGGAGCTGGCCCAAAATGAGACACCCAGTCAGACACACGCAGAGACACGACGTCAATGGATACGGCAACATCTAGTTTTACACGATGATTTCAGAGCATGCACTCATTCATTTTTTATTTAAATTTTATGTTTCAGATGATTTGATGACTCATTTAGTTACAGGTCTGAGAGTTTTTCATGGTTTTAGAGATGTGCAGAGCCCGTTTTACCAAATTTTAGTAGGTTGACATAAATAAAGCAAATTTAATCACAGCTCTGTTTGTCCTCCTGACCTGTTTCAACCTTTATTTATACAGGTTAGTCCCACTGAGCCTCGGGGACTCATTTACAAGAGAGACCTGGGTGATGACAACAGTAGACAATCATAAAAGAAAGCTTATAAATTGAGAAAAGCAAGTGAAAGAAAATGGTATTAAAACATGAAACAAACAAAAAAAAAACAGCTAAGGTGTGAGGTGATGTAGAAAACTAAAAACAGGAACATGTCTGCGTTGGTTTTTCCCATGAACTGAGCAGATGTTTGAAGCCACTTAGAGAGGTCAAGGTCGAGAGCTTCAGATCTTTTCGCAAAGTGTTCCAGGAAACAGGAGCAGAGTAGGAGAAGGCCCTTTTGCCAAGTTCAGTCCTCACTGAGGGAACACTGCAGGTAATAAAGTCCTGAGAGCGCACGCTGTAGCTGCACTCACGCAGAGACACGTAGGAGGAGATGTATGACGGCAACAGACCAAGAAGTGATTCAAAGATGAAAATGTACCAGTGAGAGAGTCTGCGTGAAGTTAATGATGACCAGTTAACCAGTGAATACAGGGTGCAGTGGTGGGTACGATAATCACAGCCAGTTATGAATCTTAGTGCACCATGATAGACAGCATCCAACATCTGCAGCATCCAACATCTGCAGGGTTCTTGTAGGAGCGTTCATGTAAATAATGTCACTGTAATCAATGGAGGGAAGGAAAGTCACAGTTACAAGGTGTTTCCTAGCATTCAGAGTCAGACGGGATCTGTTTCTGAGAAAGAAACCCAGTTTAACTTTCAGTTTCCTTCTCAAGTTTTTCACGTAGAGCTTAAAAGAGAGATGTGAATCAACCAAGATATCCAAATATTTGTAGGAATCTACAAACTCATTAGGGACACCATTCGAGGATAAAATCGAAGGAAGAACTGCTGGGACGAACTTCCTGTTTGAAAACAACATCCCTTTGGTTTTGTCGGCATTTAGGACAAGTTTGAGATGGAACAAATCTGACGATGTCGAAAGCAGATTGCAAAAGCTGGAAAACCTTAACTGTTTTAACTCAACAATAACCAACTGTCATCAGTATAGAAATGTAAGGATGCGTCAAGAATGCTCTGACCTACATTACATATGTAGATTGTAAAGAGGGTGAGTCCTAAGACTGAGCCTTGTGGTACACCGTTGTTGACTGTTAAATAACTGGAGGAAGTACCATTATGTTGAACACATTGCCTCCAATCTGAGAGATAGAGAACCAAACCAATGGTGTGAACTGAGAAACGAGCTTATGACACAAGATGTTATGATCCACAGTGTCAAAAGCTTTGGACAGGTCTAAGAAAAGTGCAGCACAATAATCCTTAGCATCCAGTGCTTCAACAACGTCATTAAGAACCTTCAGTGAAGCAGTGGTTGTGCTGTGTTGTTTCCTGAAACCAGATTGATGTGGAGGTAAGATGTTAAATGAGTCCAGGTAATCTTTGATTTGAGAGTTTATCAGTTTTTCTAGAACCTTGGCTAAAATGCAGAGTTTAGAGATTGGTCGATAGTTGTTCAGTGAGATGGGGTCTCCTCCCTTCAGCAAAGGAAGAACAAAGGCTGTTTTCCAAAGGTCTGGAATGGAGTTTTGGATTATTGAAAGGTTAAAGATGTGGGACACCAGTACTGTGATGATATGAGCAGCCAGCCTTAAAAAATAAGGTGGAAGTTCATCTGGTCCTGCAGATTTTTTATAGTCTAGACTATTTTAAGTTTATTAACCTCACTAACTGAGAACGATGAAAATGAAAAGGTGTGGTTTACTGAAGTTTGACTTCTAGGACAAGATAACTGTTGACTCTTGTCTTTTCTCTGTTTATTCAGTTGTTTTATATTACGTCTTTAAATGTTTATATTCAACGTTAAAATCAGACTCCAAAAATATTCATGTTACTAATAGGCTGAAATCTTAAAGGGTAACATAGAAGCAGAGAGTTCAACCTTTTGGTTTAAAATGTGAGGAGAGAATTGGTGAGTTTTTTACGAAACTCAATGAGATTTTATTGTATTAAAAGTTTTTGTTTTGTTTGATGGAGTGACTGACAGAATGAGATTGTGGATACAGACTGTTGAAATGAGTTTCCTCTGCAGGGTGGACTCTTCTGTAGAGATGGGGTGAGAAGTTCACTTATCTAGGAGAGAGACTTGGAGTAGAACTGCTGCTCCTCCACATCGAGAGGAGCCAGTTGAGGTGGTTCAGGCATCTGGTAAGGACGCCCCCTGGGCACCTCCCTACAGGGGTGCTTTGGACATGTCCGACTGGGAGGAGACCCCGAGGAAGACCAAGGACACGCTGGAGAGACTGTCCCTCTCATTTGGCCTGGGAACGCCTTGGAGTCCTCCCAGAGGAGCTGGAAGAGGTGGCTGTGGAAAGAGATGTCTGGGCCTCCCTGCTCAAGCTGCTGCCCCATGACATGACGTCAGAACAAGCAGAAGAGGATGGATGGATATTTTGTTTGATAGTTTTTTTTTTAACTGAACAACTGTGAGCATGTTTCAGCTTTTTGTCTGTTTTATATTAAACATTCAAGCTTTAGTTTTTCTGAATGCTCTTCATTAATTTCACATTTTACAATCACACACAGTTTTATTAACATTCTTCCATTGTTTCATAAGATATTTGTCAGACAGACGCAGGAACAGGCACCGGTTGAAAACACCATCGCCCGCCAGGTATTTAAGAGCGACGGTCATTTTCCGTCCGACGCAGCAGGTTGCGGTCCGCGCATGCGCCGTGGCCGTCACGACTAGAACGCCGCTGCGGCTGTTTCAGGTGAAAACATGGCGATGAAGGCGCTCAGAGGGATGGTGAACGGAGCCATGAGCGAGCTCTCCTCGGCCGTGAGCGGCAACAAACCGACGGCCAACGCTCCGGTTGCCTCCAGGGACACCGCGGGCTTCCGGGAGCACGCCATGGCCGTGAGCCGAGATTACATCTCGCAGCCTCGCCTGAGTGAGTGTTGACATGAAGCTCCAGTGAGGATGAGGATGAGGCAGGTCTCCATCAGTCCACATGATGCTGTGTGTTTGACAAAGATCAGGATGCGAGTCAGTGCAGATCCTTCTCAGATACCTTACAGGTCCACCTGCCAACAGATGATATGATTTATTATTATAATTGGTACACAAGATAAATATAAACGCATCTATTTCTTTAGTTTTTATGTGACGTTAAACTGAAAATCAGAAAACCATGCACTCAAATATATAATGCAGCTCTAAAGTTGTTTCTGCTCACATAAACGGGTACACTAAAGATTTTATTACACCATGTCTTTATTTTCTCCCAGTGATAACAAAGGCAGCACTGGGTTTTATGAGACCCCTGAGCAGATCTAGTGCTGAGGTCCCCCCCTCCCCCCCCCATCTCCCCACCATCACCACCATCAAGTCATTTTGTTAAGTGTGTCTGTCTAACAGGGTGTGGGCAGCTGGATTTCACAACACCAGCAGAACTGATCAGTAGTTGAGGATCAGACCAACACGTAACACCGTCAAATAATAATATTTTTTTAAAAATTCTATAAATAACTTTTTTGTTTAGTAATTGAAAGTCCTTATCAGAGTCAGAGTTTCTTTATTTGTCATCCACGCAGCATGTACATGTGGTGGAACGAGGTTGTGTACGCAGGGTCCCAGTTACATCCAACAATAAAATGCAAAAGAAAAACAGTAATAAGATCTAAGATATGAACTAAGAAAAACATCAACTATTAACATAAAAACAATACGTCGAACAGCAGCACGAACACGAGTCTGTGTCAGATGAGTACGAACGAACACAGCAACATGAAACAGATCAGCAGCAACATGAAACAGATCAGCAGCAACATGAAACAGATCAGCAGCAACATGAAACAGATCAGCAGCAACATGAAACAGATCAGCAGTAACATGAAACAGATCAGCAGCAACATGAAACAGATCAGCAGCAACAT